CAGCGAAAGATTTGACCTCGACCTAGCATGGCTCACTCTTGGCGCGGTTGGCGGGGTACGCCCACCGACTATCTAATCACTCGCCGCAGGTCTATACGTGGCGAGTGATTAGATAGCAGAGAGAGCGTAGTGTTGAAGAGGGCACAGCGATGAGAGTCGCATCAATGCGCAAATCAACGGGCAAGGAAGGGGTCCCATTTCTCGGGTTCTGGGCCGTTTCTCATGTTTTTTTTTGTGCATACTCACCATCCTTAAGTTCGCGGTGTCTAAGGGCTCATACATAGTCGATCGTCTGATCTTCGGACACGTCTGGCAATCGATACGCATCCAATGGTGTACGATCGCTACCATCGGGTGACCGACCATGAATGCGCCCTAACCAATTTCCATATTTTTTCTAATTCCCCCCCCCCCTTCCACCACCGACGAACTGTTGCGCCTGCGGTTGTCCGTGCAATAGTTCGTCCCAGCAATAGTACAACGAAGGAAGTTCCTGCCTGTGTGAACCACTACGTTTGTGCAATAAGATAACCAGATGAATTCAGGGATAAACCATTCCTTTTATGTCGAGTTCTCAGTCTTGAAACACACGAACGCCAGGTGTCGAAGAGCGAAATTCTCGTGTCAGCAATGCTTTTTTCATGACTGGGCAACTGGACGGCGTGAAGTTCGTGGCTTTGTTCTCCACAAGTGCAAAACTAATGATGCCAATGAAGAATGAAGTGCTCAGGAATCGAATAGAAATCCTAGCGAAACATTCTACAGTCTTAGTAAAGACAACAACAAATGTAGCGGTGCTGTTCATTAGAAGTGTAATGTAGTGAATGCAGATACAGCATCACTGAACACTTCTGCTGAATTGAAGAGATGAAATTGCAGGATTTCTGACCATGAACCGATGTCGCCCACTGTTTTAAAGCTACGCCATTCCTCATTCCACAATTTCCGTTTAACTCATAGATGCTTATGCATTTGATGGATTTATTCAGTTTTTGAAGAATGAATTTATTTACTTTACAACATTAAACACTTCTTCAAGTGGACCTGTAACATCTTTTCTTAATACAGAGTATGGAAAGAAGAAAACTAAGAAGGTACCCGTTGCACTTGGAAACAGAAATTATACAGCTCTGCTGAGATTCACACAGATGTTCTATTAAGGCTGTCACTCAGCTTTTCGAAGAAGCACCTTGAAAACGAAGCAAAGCCAAGCTGTTCGCTCCATCGTTCGAGCTTCTGAATACGTGAAATTTCTCAACGTTCAGCAGTACGTACGCTGTTAACAACTCGTGCAAACCTACAACATAAGATAAGCCGGTATTAATTGCAGCAATCGAGGAAGCCATGTTTCCCTTGTAAGCTCGTTCCTTGGTGTGAGGAACAGTACGCTTCTGACTTTCCCATCGTTCCTCGTGTGGTGGATTTATGCAGCATCGTTCGCAAGTGAATTTAACAACTGCGGCTGTTCCTGCGACGGTTAGTCGTACTGCGTCCAGCTTACGTCCACATTGAGGACAGAATCGAAACAACTTCATCAACATTTCTCCGCTCACTAAGAAATATTTCCCTAATGCAGTTTGATCCATCTCCTGGAAATATCCACTTGTCGAGGAATATTCCGCCAAGTCATCGGATACCAAATCGTCCTGGTTCTGAACAAGGACACCTTTAGTTGCATGACTGAGGCGCTAACAATGCTTTCAAACTCCTACCTTTACAGAAATAGTACAAGTTGTCTGCTGTGTTATCGCCCTCAGTCGACAATCCTTCTTTTGCTTCACTTAGACCAGGCATTTCATCTTGATCCAGCTGCATCACATCCTCGTCATGGACCTGGAATCGATAAATGACGAAATAGTTAAGATAATTCCAATTTAGTGATCAAATTAAACCTGTTCGGTTACCGGCCATAGTGCCGTTGAATAGTAAAGTTTAAAAGCCATATTGAGGAATTCGCTAACATCATGAGCTGTGATCGAAACACCACCCTGAAATTGCGAATTCTGCGGATTTCAAAATAATTGCAATAAGAAATAAGAGCAGGTTCAAGGGTGTGGTTCGCTGGGTGTGGTTCACTAGGACAGAAAGCAAATTTTTCGCGCTCCGCAGGGCGAAATATTTTTCGATGCGGGAACCTCTGGTCATCAGTGGACCCGAGGTTCCCGCAGCAGATCAGTGGACCCGAGGTTCTCGCAGCGAAACTATGAAACGCGAAAAAGTAGCGTTCTGTCTTACTGAGCCACACCCAAGTACCTAGGACAAAAGCGAGTTTTAAATTTCTTGCACCGCAAAACTTTTCACTGAGAGAAACCCTTGTCCACGCCTGATCACTGGTGGACCTGGTTCTCGCAAAAAAGTTTCGCTGTGCGAGAAGCGGAAAAGCCGCTTTCTGTCTTGGCCAACCACACCTTAGGTCCAACATAATAGTATGAATCTTACCTTTGCCATACTATTCAAGACAGAAATAAGATCCTGAGGGATATCTCCATTGGTAACATATGCTGTGCGTTCTGAAGCACTGGAACCTTTGAAGTGCGAAATTTTGTTTCCCGCCGTCACCACTTCAGTCAACATGTATTTAGCCTGTTTACAATAAAAACTTAGTTGCAAAGAACGAACGTATTGTGGCTGTGTTTTGCTTACCGCTTGCACGACGTGTACATGGCATATTTTTTGTGTTTTTGTCAGAGACTCAGCAATCCTTCGTGCGCAATTAGGTTGAATTTGTCCGGCTAATGATAGGGAAAATAGCAGGATCATATTCTGGCTCTTCTTGTAAGACCAAGACTTCAGTTCTTCTATTGCCAACTTCTTTCCACAAATGACACATCTCTTCAATTTTATGACACTGTGTCCCGCTTCCTGGAGCGACTTTCCTGTCGAAGAACATTCCGTGATGTCGTTAGGTGCCATGTCGTCTTTGCTCTAAACAGGTACTTCTGTACCTACGCTAATGGAGCGTCAGCTGTTTCACCTCTCACCACTGCATAGACAGAACATGGTTTTTCGACGTCGTCCTCAGAAGCTAAGCCCTTCTTAGTGGAGGCGAATTCCTTACCATTTTCCTTCATCTCAGTCACATCTTCACCTTCAACCTAAAATTCAACTGGTTCAGATGCTTTTAACACGTTGACGACATCGCGCGTTTTGGACTTTTGCACCGCGTGGGACCAGAGCGATTTTGCGAGCGCCGCCGCCGCACACCAAATCCATGGATTTTGAGCTGTAAATACGCAATACTTAGATGCGATGAAGTGTTTTCAATAATGTTCGATCTGTCTAACTTATCAGGAGTTACAGTAATGGAAGTTCGACCGAAATGACGTGTTAAGGCCATGAAAAGGCAAATTTTACTTACTTTCCCTTTAGTGGTTCCAAAATTAATTTGGACGTGGTTGTTTCAGTAAAACACATATCTTCCCATACGAATAGGTTTGTATTCACTTCTATTATTCCTTTTTATCAACATGTTCACGTTAATGAAAAGAAAACGAGGAATGAACTGAACATATCCGTAAGGTCTGGAAAACCTCTGCCAAACTAAAGAATATTTGGCCTTTCTGTGAGCCATGTGGTTTTTAAGTATGCTAATGTATGGCCTATAGAATGAGTACAAAGACCTTAGGAATAAGTCGCACAAGCGCAAGAAAAAGGGATGACTTGGGTGGGACGCGTTACCGCGTCACAATGTCCCACGAGGTGCGCAAAGTGGGACGCGTTACCGCGTCACGCTGTCGTCAACGTGTAATGGTAGTTCCATATCATGCAAGATATGTAGTGATATTTTCACCCCATCCACTTCTTACCTCTGGCGCAACAGGCCACATTGCTGTTGAGTAATAACGTTTGAGAGCGAAATTAATAAATTTACTAACATCACGAGATGTAATGTGGACGCTTCCCTGGAATTGCAGTTTTTAGCATTTCCAGAGTACCTATGATGAGAATCAGCTCTGCTCAAATATGAAACTCACTTCTAACATTCTGTTCATAGCAGAAACTAGGCCTTCAGGTATATCACCGTTCGATACATATGCGGTGGGCCCAGAAGCCTTGGGATCTTTGAAATGAGATATCTGTTTTCCTGCGACCACTACTTCAGCCAACATATATTGAGCCTGTTTGAAAGAAAGTATGCTGTTCAGTAATGAAAAGATAAAAGCTGTTTCAAACTCACTGCATGCACTAAGTGCACATGGCATACTGATGGCCTCTTCTGTGTGAGCGAGTCAGCTAAAGCACGTGCGCATTCTTTATTCATTTGGCCGGCCAATGAAAGAGACATTGACCAGATTGCATTCCGTTTCATGTTCTCAGTGGTCCGCGGTGCCTCGTTATTTGCGATCATCTTTCCACATATTCCACACCTCCGCATTTTCAAAACAGCCTGAAACATAGCACACAATATTAACACTGGCATGCTCTACTTTATTCTTTCTATTCTAAGGCGATATTCAGGAAAAAGGAGGGGGCTGCCAGTGATAGAGCACTCAATGCAGGTAAGGAAAAAATGAAATTTCAGCCTCACTATAGACCTAAAGGAGAATCTGCTTTAGGGTGAAACATTTATCATGGAAAGTAGTAACCAGTTTTTACACATGCGAATTTATGATAGGCTTAAATGAAGTTCCACTCTCTAACGTCATTTCGGGACAACGTCTTAAAATCTGACTGATTCTTAGGCGACCTTCAGTCATGGTTTCTTTGACTTGGATGTTCATCGCCAGACCTAAGCTGTCCTGGGCCTGACGTTTTTCGGTTGGACATGTTTCAATGCTAGATGATGCGGAGAAACAATAGGGCCAGGTAATTCCTCCTTCCTAGGACAGCCTAGGATTGGGAAGAAACTGGGTTGTTGAGAACAGCTCACGCACTCTGAAATCTCTTCCCCTCTTCTGACTAAGGATCTGCCTTCCTTCTTTTCTATTAGCTATCACAAGCTGATCCATGACTTTTATAAATCTTGTTTTATTACCTGCTAATGTTTTCAAGGTTTCTGAAACGCTGGTCAAAAGCGGTGTTGCACAGTCACAGCTAGTGTTAGAAGCTATCACCAGGGGCCGGGTGCAGCAAGCCCCAACTAGGGGAGGGATCCCCAACCTTGGGGATATATCCCCAACCTTGGGGATATATCCCCAACCTTGGGGATATATCCCCAACCTTGGGGATATATCCCCAACCTTGGGGATATATCCCCAACCTTGGGGATATCCCCAACCTTGGGGATATATCCCCTACTTCGTCGCAAGACCCATCGTTTTTCGGTGGCTCCTATGACGCAACCGTGCGGGACGGTCACTGCCGTCGACCCTCTGCGTCTCTGCAGGCAGGGGATATATCCCCCTAGTCGAGACTAGGGGGATTCGTCCCCTCACTTGGCGACGCGGAGAGTTGAAGGCTGTTTCGGGTTCTTTCACCCTTTGTTTCGCTTCGTTATTCGCTCTTCTTTTTTCGTCATTACCTTGCCTTTGTTCATTCGCTGTTTTCTAATGAGGCTTCGATCCTCTTGTTTGTTTGTTTATTTGGCATCTATTCAGGGTTTATTTCACCTTTCCTACCCTATGTGTAAGAGCGCGTCATTGGAGGACATAACAAAAGTAATAAGTAGGTAAATAAATAATTAAATAAATAAATAAATGAATAAATAAAAAAAAACTCGCCACTTCCTTGAAAATCAAGAAAACAATGGAATTTTTTGAAAACATGCCCAGTCCATCGGAGTTGCTGGATTCCCAAGGGATTGAGGGTGGCCGCTTTCATAGTTCACGAATTCGGAAGTTAGGCTGGTAGGCGACAGAATACTGGGATAGTGACATATTAGATATTTAGCTGAAAAGGCATTTTTTACTTAAGACTATTGCACTGAACCCCAAGGCAAAAAAGATATCTTTGAAACTTGGGTTGAGGGGGTAGTCCGGTGGTTTGATCACAAATATGACAATCGCTTTTGACGCTGACGCCCGTTCGCGCCAGTTTGGCGCCACACCATTCCCCACCTAATTAGTTAAAAACCTACCTTGACCGCGTGGGACCGGCGCGATTTTGCGAGCGCCGCCGCCTCAGGTCCATCGAGCGAATTTTGCGTGATAAATGTAAAAAACAAGATTGATACGGAATCAGATTAGTATTTTTCAGTCTGCAGAAACGCCCTAGAGGTGCAGTAGTAAGAATTTATCGAAATACGAATGAAGTAACGGTGAAAAAGCAAAATTTGTCTGAATTGCCTGCATTGGGCGTCAAAGGCAATTTAGCATCGATGTTTCTAATCAAAACATATCTTGTCCCGTTCAGGTTCCGTATTGACTTATACCACTATTTCGACATTCACATTAAATGAAAAGAAAATGCAAACAAAAAATCAACCAGACTGCGGTTTTCAGAAAACCTCCTCCAAAGTGAAGCATAGGTGACCATTCTGGGAGCCGCTATGTTTGTATCTATGCTAAGGTTTGCTCCATAGAATGGATACAAGAGACCTATAAATGAATCACGTGTGCGCGAAAATAAATGAGTGCATTGGGTGCAGGACGCATACGTCCCGCGTTGTCCGTCGTGGCCTGCAAAAGGCGGGACGTATGCGTCCTGCGCTGTCGTCAACGTGTTAATGGTCCGTGAGCCTTCGAGGTGCGGAAGCACTGGGTCCTGCGACGAAACCCTTGAACGATTCGTAGAATGTCGAGGATGGGGATATGTCCCCAAGGTTGGGGATGTATCCCCAAGGTTGGGGATGTATCCCCAAGGTTGGGGATATGTCCCCAAGGTTGGGGATATATCCCCAAGGTTGGGGATCCCTCCCCTAGTTGGGTGAGGGGAGGGATCCCCAAGGTTGGGGATATGTCCCCAACGTTGGGGATCCCTCCCCTAGTTGGGGCTTGCTGCACCCGGCCCCAGTTGATCGGTTGGACAGAAATTATGTAGACAGCCTTCAGATATCGGCAATATTGCGGCTAAGCCTCCGTGAGCTCGAGTTTTTTTTTTTTTTTTTTCTGTAACGGTCCCTGACGTCATAATTATATAAGACGGGGCAGTGATGAGGGCTGCTTACTGCTTTTGGGGCTATCTCAGGATCTTCTGTGCCGTTAGAGCATTCATCCAACAACACATCCTGTGCGACGAAAAATTTGATGATGTGCGCCATGATTGAAGTGACTTTTTTGCCCCCCCCCCCTTATAGTATTTGACACCTATTGCTGGCTGCAAATGCCCCAGCTTATTCGGAGATATCGTTGAGATTTCACATGTGGACGAAACTTTTCGTAATTGTAGTCAGACCAAAGATAGTTTTCCCGCCGAAATCTACGTCGAAACTTGGTGGTGTAGGCATGTGATGAAAAGGAGACAGCGCGTACGTTTGACCTTCGGATTAAGGAAACGCTCAGTCTTGGTACAAAGCCTAGAGAAAAAGAGGGACTCTGGAGTGCGTAACCCATCATTCTCTCACCAGTTCATCACTCTCCATAGTCTTAGTCCTTCCCACAGACTCTCCTCCCCCGGTTTACGGACTACTTGAACTTTCTTCTATAATTCTGCCACGGAAGGGGGAGACCACAGACGATTTGAACGGTTCCTGGCTCGCCTCCAAATCCCAAGTAGGGAGATGAGAGGCGTGGGCTGGTAAGCCTTGTGAAGAAGGTATTCCGGATGGTGAGACAACTCGGTTGTGACAATAGTTTTGAATGGGTGATCACAGCGGTCGTGAGAAGGATAAAGGGAGAGAGCGCAGACGAAAGGGTGGAGTGAGGCAAAGGACCGATTCCAAGTAGTTTGCAATGAACTGAGAAAGACTCTTGGAAATTCCAAAGGAATGGCGCGGTGCTTCGCGAGGGGGGGGGCAGACTGGAGTTCGTGTGCTGTCCCCCCCCCCCTCCCCCCAGGTTCCGGCCCGATACTCATACTGCCTTCGGGAGATAGGAATGTAATCAGCACACCGCCACTAAAGTCGCGTGGATGTTGTAGCTACAGCTACACCCCCCCTCTGCTGCACTTTCTTTGAGGGTCGAGCTGCCTTGCTATCACATCGCAACCCGGAGTGCCCTCTCTCGCTCTCAGGCGCTTCTCTCTCCAGACGCCCATGGTCTTGGGGGTGGGTTGCAGTTTTGGCAGCACGTAGAACTAAGCCTCAGGGGGAAAGACTCAGGGGGAGGATGTGAGCGGATAGCGGATGCTTTCCTCGAGTTTCTCCCATCTCCTGTGTAGACCTAGTGTCTATAACTACCATCTGTCGTGTTTTAAATGTACACCCCCCCCCCTCCTCAAAAAAATGGACGGCTCTAGTTTAGTCTTAAGTGTCTTGGGGCCCGTATGCTATCCTCCCCCGGAAGGGTTAGGGAGAGGGACGGAAATTCCTTCTTTTCTCTGTCTCCCAACTGGGATTACCCTGATAAAAGGCCTACATTAACTGTATGTATGTAGGTTGAAGTAAGCATGCATCGAAAATGAAGAAACTCAAAGCAAATGAAATTTGAAGGAAGCTTTGCGTCACCTAGCTTCGGGGAAGGATACGGCCTTTTGAATAGTCTCAAAAGTAAGCATTTCCGTAACCCGCCTTGTCCCATTCTCCGAGCCATATTGCGCCGAAATGGAATTCCCACAGCTAGTGTGAAATGGAGAAAGCGAACAATGGTGATAGAATTGAAATTACAGGAAGAACCCACAAAAAAGTCGAAGAGATTTCAAAACTGACGACTACCGAGCGGATTAAGACGTGATTAGCAAACTTTGTGTGCATATACACACTAAGTGATATTCATTAGTTAATAGGACGCCACAAGCTTTGGTTACTCGCTGGGAAGTTTACCGCTGTGTTTCTTCAGGGAAGGACGATCAATGATTATCATCGATCAATTTGGAGGAGGAAAAGTCGCCGCTTTGACCGGGGGCCGTATGCTGAATGTTGGGAGGGGACGGGGATGGGGAAAGGTTGGGGAGGTTCGTCGCAGGACCCACTTTGGCAACGTCGCACCTTTGATTTTGCAGCTTTGTTTCCATTCTTTTACTGTTCCTGATTGTATATTCGCTCGTCAATATCGTTGGTGCAACCGTTGGCCAGTGGGTTCTGCGACGTACCTCCCCAACCTTTCCCCATCCCCATCCCGTCCCAAACATTCAGCATAGGCCCCGCCTGACTTTGGCAGCGAGATTATGGTCCCGTAGATGTTTTAGTTTCATCACTGATATCGCTTATCGGATGAGTATAGGTGTTCAACTCACGCTGTACGAAATTTCCTAGAGGAAAATTCTGTTCTTAGTCATTACTTTGCTTTTTCCTCTGTGGTGATTAATTCAGCCTATACTGTAGGGGCGGAAGTGGTGTAGTGACAAGTGGCGCGCTTACCACGCGAGCGGTCCGGGGATCAAATCCTGGGTCGTGAGTCGCCCGGGCCAACCAAGCCTTCC